CACGGCTCCGCGGCCCGCCCTCCGGGGCCGCGGCCCCGCGGGCGCGCGCGGCGCTGCTCCGCGGGGCTCCCTCGCGGAGGAGCGTGCGCGTGCGGCCGCGCATCCGCGGGGCGCCGCGCCCCCGAGGGCGTGGAGGCGGACGCGTTCGCCGCTCGCGAGGGGGTCTGGAGGAGGGACTTTGGAGGAGGCTGCGCCCAGAGGCCCGCGGGCGACGAACCCTCGGACGGACTCGACCCTCGTGGCGGCTCTGGAGCGCCAGGCAGAGAAGCGCCGAGCGCCAGGTGACGAAGTGCCTTTACTTTTTCGATGGCGTCGCCGCCTCGTCGGAGCTCCTGCCTAATGATCTCGCGTTGGACTGGAGCGTACCTTCTGCTCGGCCGCGTCATGTCGGATGTGGGAACAGGTTCGCAAACTCTTCCGCATCATCCACAAATCACTCTCCCAGCCCCTCCCCCTGCCTCCTGCTCGTCGTCCTGCCTCCCTCGCGTCCTCGTCCTCCGCCTCCTCTTCTTTCTCGTCCCACTCCTCATGAGGAGGACGAACAGAAGAGAAGGAGGAGGCGGAGGAGGGGTATCAGAGTAAACCCAAAATGCATCAACCGATGCTGTGATACACCCTTCCGTCCCAGGTACCCTCTTTATATGTCCATACAAGTATTGCTTTCCACTTCGGGCGCTCCCCCCTCGAATGACGAGCGGCCGGTCGGTCCGCCAGTCAGACGAGGGTGCCTGATGTAAAGGATCTTCCCTCCACTTGAAGAACGCCCAGGGTACTTCCATTTTGAGAAGCACATGCCCTCCATCTGACTAAGCGTGGCAGGATGTCAAAGTCGTGGATGTCTGCTGCGCGGAAGTCCCACGCGAGAGCCCGTCTAAGCGTTGCAGCATGTCTAAGTCGTGGACGTATGCTTCGCGGACGTCTCAAGCGAGGAAACCGTTTCGAAAGTGGAGCAGTCCTCCATCCGTGTTATCTGTTGTTCAATATGGAACGCCGGGTCGAGGTCGAGGAGGGCTCATGTGAGTTTAGATGGTGTATTGTACATCCGAATGTACGCGAGGCCAGAGGGAGACCCCAATACGGTGAGAGCGTTCGTTAGGGATTGTGCTCAGGAAGCTGCAGACCCTCTAGAGGATTCCTTCTCTGATGAGGGCGGCGGTGATATCCATGGCCGCTCCACAATGGGAGCTCCTCCGGCTGCCAGACCATGGATTCTTTATCTAAGGGTTCCTTGTGGAATGCCCCCACTGTCATGGAAAGGACTTACCACCCACTCGCGCAGCTGAGGATAGTTCGGAAGCCTAGTATGCACGGCGCCAGGGCAAGAGCCCCTTTTTGAACATTGCCCACGCTCTATCTGTTCTTTGATGGTGCAAAATGGTTGTGTTCGGAGTCAGCGAAGCGAGAGCCCCCCTGTGAAAACCGTTTGCGGTCCACGCGTCAACGCGATCTGAGTTCCTCTGCTTCTTGAGCCCTCCTGCGACGACGAGGACGATCAAGTTGAGGATGTGGATGCTGCTGCTGCTGCTGCTGGCGACGGCGAGCCTGTGAACGCTTGGGGCGGATTCTAACGTTTGATTCTGACGTTTTGGGGCGCTTGGAAACGTCTTGGAGCGTTTGAGAGCGCCTGGGGCAGCCCGGGGAGCCAGTTGGGTCCCAAATCGGAGTCGGAGGTGCCCCGGACGTGTACATATATATATATATATATATATACATATATATACATACATATATATATACATTTATATACATATATATATATATATATATATATATATGTATATTCATATATATATATATACATGTTTAGCTTGTGTTTGCTATCGATGTTTTGGTTTGTTTTGCCTTTGTGCCCAGGGCTCCTCCGGGCCAGGTGGGTCGTGTCTGAAGATCAGCATGTACGCGCCGAATTCGTTTTGTTTCCGTCGGATGGTGAGGGTTATGTCGGTTGGATGTGCACCGGCACGTATTCTGTTTCACAGGACTGAGGGTTGGGCCAGGTGGATGAGCTCTGAATGGCATGTTCCATCGGAGGATAAAACATGTGTGGTGTTGTGTGTGTTTCGTTGTATCCGTAATGCTCGAACTCTGCTCCAGCGGCCTTGGAGGCCCCCCCGTGGCCCCCAAAGTGGCCCCCTTGGGCGCACATAAGGCCCGCACACTGGTACGACACCCCAAGCGGCCCCCGAGAGGACCCCCAAAAGTGTCGGACGACGCAACAACCATTGTTGTCTTTATGTTAGTGAAGGTCTTCCAGCTTCTCGGTTTTCGGGCACGAACGGCCCGATACAGCTCCAGGGCCCCCCGAGATTGTGCCATGACGGCCCGAGAGGCTCCCAAGAGGGCCTGAGAGAGCCACAAGACGGCCCAAGGAGGGCCTGGAAGAGGCCCAAGATGCTCCCGAGAGACAGTATGTCGTCGTCATCACCATCAACAGTATTATCATAATCGTCATTCGTTTTTTGTCGCGCTCTAGTGCCTTCCCAAGATACCAACACGCCCTAGCTCCCCCTGAAGAGGCTTCCTGCGGCTTCTAGATAGCCCTAGAGGGCGCCGAGTATGCCACCAAGATGCCCCAAGAGAGCCTCCAAACGGGAAGACAGAGAGAAAGAACGGGCAAGCCAGCGACATCTCGCGCTCTGAAAGTAAATGCGCTTTCCGTCCCCGTGCCAAGCAGGTGACGGAAAGATCGATGTACGAGTGTACGTTGAGATGGGGCGACGCCTTCTAGGGAGGAGTGCAGAGGAGGGGCCAGGCGGGGTCGATTGGATGTAATAGCCCGTTTCCCTCGTATTTGTTCGAATGAAGCGGCTCCCGGGCGGCTCTCACGGTCTGTTTCTTTGTTTTTTTTTCGGGTGAACCGGCCAGAGGGCCCCAAGACGGCCCAAGAGGGCTCCAAAAAGGGCTTCAGATGGCCCCAAGACGGCCCCAAGAGAGCTAGGAGGAGGAGGCGGAAAGAATACTGCTCGGAACGACCTGTCCAAGTACGCTGGGTGACCGACCACATCTGCCCGAGAGCATACCAAACTGCCCCGCCAAGCATCCCTCTGGCTAAGCCCTCCCCAGGGCAAAATCCGCTTCAGATTGTGACAAACTGTTGTTATGACATGTATGTTCGATGCCATTACGTTCAGGCGCCTGCAAAGACAAACTGTGAGCGTGCCAAGCCCTTGTAGCCCATCATTCAGCGTGATGCCATCATGGTTTCCATCGTCGTCATCGTCTGTGTCTTCGCCTCCCCCAGGCCCCCCAAATGGGGTCCGAGCAGATGGGGCCCACGGGTCGAGCCGCGCCGCCCATGCACGTGCGATGCGGCGCGATGTGGAGCCCCATTCTCTTCCTCGACGGTGCCGATGCGTCGCCGACGTCGCCGATGCCTTGCCTCTGCGATGCATCCCCTCGCGGGCGACAAGCACACATCCGCACCTGCGGCCTTGCGGGCCGGCCGCCGGCCCCCCGGGACCGCGACTCCGCGGATACGGTTCGGCGTTTTGTTGTCTGTTCGCGGATGCACCGCGCCTCCTCCTCCTCCTCCTCCTCCTCTTCCTCATCCTCCGAGCTCCATCCTCTATCCTCCGTCCTCCATCCTCCATCCCCCTCCTCCTCCTCCTCCTCCTCCTCCTCCTCCTTGGCATCGTGCCTCGGAGTCCAAACCGCGAGCCAGTGGATATGATGGATACGCTCGCTGCTCGTGACCCGTCTGCTCGCACTCCCCTCTTGGAGGCCTTTCCCTTCGGCTCCTCCGCCGCGGCCTCCGGCAGACCTCCGAATCGTCGGAGTCGAGCGGAGGAGTGGCACCGTGCCGAGCGGGACCTCGCAGAGCAGCTCGCCCTGGACCCGGACGACGCGGCCGCCGCCGCGGAGATGCTCGGCGGGGAGCAGTCGAGGACACCCCTTCCGGCTTCTGAGAGAGTTTTTCATTCCCTGGCCACAATGGGCGTGACCAGTGGGGGGGGGTGGGGGGGGAGGGGGACGTGACCAGGGGGAGGAGAAGGGGGGGGCGGGGCTGGCCACGGTCGTCATCGCGACTGATGAAAACACGGACTCTTCCCCTCCGGGAGGGGAGTGGAGAGGCACCGACACCGCTACTCGTCCTCGAGACCCCTCGTCGCCACGGCTGGATGCGCCTCGAAGTCTCGGTCAGAACGCACCCCAGGACCCTTGAAGAGGTTCAGGGAGCAGCGGTATCCTGGCACCGCTCGGACGTGTGCATTTTCTCTCGGCGAGAACCATTGAGGACGATCCTGGACCATCGAGCAAAAAAAACGCGCACGAAACGGAAAAATGCACGGGAAATGGACGTCCGAGCGATGGCGAGGTATCGGTGCCGCTTTGTTTCCCCATCCTCGCCGCACGTCGGGGGGTCGGCGGGAGCAGCACGGCTGGCAGGGTCCCCTCGTGGAGTGGCCACGTGCTGCTTCTTCCTGCGCTCTCGGCCCTCCAGGGCCGCAGGCGTCGTGCTCGTTTTTTTCGTTTGGTTTTTGGAGGCAGGGAAGGGTGATGCTGATGCTGCTGATGATGATGCTGACGATGATGACGATGATGCTGCTGATGATGATGCTGATGATGATACTGATGATGCTGCTCATGATGATGCTGATGCTGATGCTGCTGCTGCTGCTGCTGCTGATGATGATGATGATGATGATGATGATGATGATGATGGTGATGCTGATGAGGATGAACATGATGACGCTGCTGATGATGCTGATGCTGATGCTGTTGATGATGATGATGATGCTGCTGCTGATGATGATGATGATGATGAACATGAAGATGCTGCTGATGATGATGTTGATGCTGATGCTGATGATGATGATGCTTATTTTTATTATGATGATGATGATGACGATGATGGCGATGGCGATGGCGATGGCGTCGATGATGACGACGGTCATGACGATGATAATGACGAGGGCGACGAGGACGCGGAATGGGATGAGGAAGGAGGAGGAGGTGGAGGAGGAGGCGGGCTGCCCGCAGCAAAGAAACAGCTGCTTCAGCGCTGTGGTCGTCAAGATCAAGAAGGAGCCGCGTCGGCAGCATCCCCCCCCCCCCCCCCCGCGGCGAGACGTGAGGAGGAGGAGGAGGCGGAGGAGGAGGCGGAGGAGGAGGAGGAAGAGCAGGAGGAGGAGGAGGAGGAGGAGGAGGAGGAGGAGGAGGAGGGGGACCAGTGTAAGCCCAAGACGCACCAACGATGTTGCAATACACTCTCGCCCCAATTTCCATTTTCATGGGTCCCCACCAGATTTTTTTGTTTTTCTATTGCCGGATTTGCCCCATTGAAAGACGACCGTTTGATAGTTTTCAATCTTGCCGAAACATTCCTGGGATTTCAGCGCCGCGATTGAACGTAACTGTCGCGTCCGGGCAAACAGAAGTCGTGCCAGATCACCACTCCTGGAACTTGACCGCGAATCAACGAAGCTGTTGCGTCCTGAGAGTCACAAACCGCGCCAGAGCACCATTCTTGGGTCTTCAACTTGATCATTTGGATCCCTGAAACTGCGGCACTGTTTTAAGACGAATGCGCGCGGCGCTGAGACGAGAGCCACATTTTGAGAGCGTGCTGGCCTCCATCCTTGAATCAGCTGCAAGTGTTAAAGACGAGTGTGCGCGGCGCTAAGGCGAGAGCCACATTTTGAAAAGGACCTGCCCTACACCCGTGAAAGCAGGCGCTGCAGATTGCAAGCTTAAGGGTCATACATGGTGAGGTTCTCTCAGGCGAAGCGCCTGGCCCGCCCTACCGACACGTCTAAGGGGTACGACGGGGAGGAGTAGTTTATTCAGGAGGGAAAAAGCACAGACACAATTCACCGTCGATTCCCCAGAAACTATGGGAAATATGGGAAGTGGGGGGGAAGACAGAAACCCACAAATTATGGGAATCTATAGAATTTGTGTGTATTTGTTTGTGTGTCCCGTCACGTGACCGCGCCTCGCGCCTCGCGCGGCGCGGCCCGGCATCGGAGAGCTGCCCTCCCCCCACGGCAGGCCGCTCGAGGGCACGAGCGCGGTGGCGCGTCGGACATCGCGGGGCGCGACGCACGACTGGTATTGAGTCGGGCCTGTCCCCCCCTACAGGGGGATTTTCGACGGAAAAATAAGAATACCCCCAAAATATTTAAAAAATCAAGAAATACGCAAAAAATAGCACCCAGACTATTTTTGGTGCATTTTTTGATAATTTGTGGGGTAATGCTTATTTTTTGTCGAAAATCCCCTTGTAGGGGGACAGGCCCGACTTCAGACTGGTAGGTGGCGCAGGAACGTGCAGAGCGCCACCGTGCGGCTCGTTGCGGAAGCATGCCGCCGCGTCGCAGAGTTCTCGATGCCCGGACGCCATCTGTGCGCCGGCCGCCGCGCAAACCTGGGAGGAGCCTCGTTCTGTTCGGAACGGGCTGGAAGCTTCTGCCGGGGAGACGTAAGACTCGGGTTCGGGGGATTCGGGTTGGCCTGACGGGGCCGTCAGGAAAACGACGAGACCCAGTCTCCTCCGAACTTTGACGCGAGCTCCTGCTGCAAACACCTCACGGAAACTGGAACGCCAGATTCCAGGACGGGCTCGTCAAAGAGCGTCGGCAGACCCGAGCCCCGGCGAACTCGAGTCTCACAATGCCCCGATCCTGAGGCTCTTCCATGGACTGTCCTCTCGTGCCAGTCGCGGCTCGGGGGGCAGCTTTGGCCAGAGGGGGGCCTCGCCGCCTGCCCGAGGTGTCACGTGCCAAGACTCGGATCTCACTGCGACCAGGAGCGCCTTGCTTGGCGTGTCGCCCCGCCGGCTCTGGCCCACCGCGCTGCGGCGCGACGCGCCAGCCGCGTCTCGGTCTGCAGGCGCCGGCGCCACGAGCTTCTTTTCTCTTGCCCCGCCGCAGTTCAGGAGGGAGAAAGCACACACAGGCACAGTCGATCGTCGATTCCCCGGAAAATTTGGGAACATGTGGACAAGGGGGGGGAGACGAGAATCGAGAAAATATGGCAAAGTAGAGTAGGGGGAATCCTGGGATTCGTGTGTATTTCTTCGTGTGTCCCATGGCCCCGCCGCAGTGCTCTCCGCCTCCTGCAGAGCACGGCCCGGCGCCGGGGCCGCTTGCCTGGACGCGCGAAGCAAATTATCCCGGCAAAGCAACCTAACAGCGATGTGTAGAAGCATATCTGGAAGCATTCTCCTTTATATTCAGATCAGAATCCAGTTGTAGAATTCTGCTGTTCTCACAGTCGCAGTCGCATTCGCGATGACAGTCGCAGTGGCAACGGCATTCGCAATCACAGCCTCAGCCTCAGCCTGCCTCAGTATCAGCCTGCCTCACTCTCAGCCTCAGCCTGCCTCAGCCTCAGCCTCAACCTCAGCCTGCTTCAGCCTCAGCCTCAGTCTGCCTTCAGCCTCAGCCTCAGCCTCAGCCTCAGCCTCAGCCTCAGCCTGCCTCAGCCTCAGCCTGCATCAGCCTCAGCGTCTGCCTCAGCCTGCCTCAGCCTCAGCCTCAGCCTCAGCCTCAGCCTCAGCCTCAGCCTCAGCCTCAGCCTCAGGCTGCCTCAGCATCAGCCTGCCTCAGCCTCAGCCTCAGCCTGCCTCAGCCTCAGCCTCAGCCTGCCTTCAGCCTCAGCCTCAGCCTCAGCCTGCCTCAGCTCAGCCTCAGCCTCAGCCTCAGCCTCAGCCTCAGCCTCAGCCTGCCTCAGCGTCTGCCTCAGCCTCAGTCTGCCTTCAGCCTCAGCCTCAGCCTCAGCCTCAGCCTCAGCCTGCCTCAGCCTCAGCCTCAGCCTCAGCCTCAGCCTGCCTCAGCCTCAGCCTCAGCCTGCCTCAGCCTCAGCGTCAGCGTCAGTGCCTCAGCCTCCGGGCATTCAAAATGTGGCCCGGGAATGGAGTTCTGGGAACTCGAAGAGCACGAAGTGGCCTACAGTTGGCTCCGGGCATTCAAAATGTGGCCCGGGAATGGAGTTCTGGGAAGTCGAAGACCACGAAGTGGCCTACAGTTGGCTCCGGGCATGCAAAATGTGGCCCGGGAATGGAGTTCTGGGAACTCGAAGACCACGAAGTGGCCTACAGTTGGCTCCGGGCATGCAAAATGTGGCCCGGGAATGGAGTTCTGGGAACTCGAAGACCACGAAGTGGCCTACAGTTGGCTCCGGGCATCCAAAATGTACGCCGGGAATGGAGTTCTAGCAGCGCCAAGAGCGATTTTGCGAGGATGTCCCAGGCGATTTGGGCTTCGGCGGCAGCCGCCCCGGGTCCCGCCCCGACCCCCCTGAGGAGTCATGATGCTCTCTTTTGACATCACTAGAAACTTATCAGTCTTCGCTGTTAGGTAAAAACGTTCCCGACCGCGAGGCGCGGCCCGACGGGCTACAGGGCGAGGAGCAGACCTCGAGTCGGGCCTGTCCTTCTACAGGGGAATACTCAGAAGTAGCAAACACGTAGTCTGACTACCTTTGAGTCTTTCTAATTTGTCGTCCAGGATCCGCCGGTGGGGGGACACGCCCGCCCTGAAGCAGACCCTGCCAGAGCTTTCGGGAGCGCTCTCAGAGCGTCCCGGGACGCTCTGATCGGGTGTTGCTAGAAGTGCCCCTGGCCCAAGGTGCCCCCAGGATTCTCAAGCAGTGGCGTGCCTATAGCCCTACCAAACAATGTTCTAAGACGCACCGGCGGCGCGTCGCCGCGAGGCGACGTGCAGCCGCCGCACTGCGCGGAGGAGTGCAAGACCAGAGGCGAGAGGGGGCTCTTCTGGCCGCGGCCGGCCTCGGCCACGACGGGACCCCGCGACCTGGACCTCCTCCTCCTCCTCCTCCTCCCTCCTTCTCTTTCTCCTCCTCCTCCTCCTCCTCCTCCTCCTCCTCCCTCCTCCTCTCCTCCCCTAGGCCCTAGCCCCCTCCTCCCCCTCCCTCCTCCTCCTCCTCCTCCTCCTCCTCCTCCTCCTCCTCCTCGGCAGGGCCGCCCGAATGTCCGCCCCGCGGTGAGGCTCGTCCACCACCCGAGTCTGGGACTGCTGCTGGTTTTCGGAGCCCCGGTTCCGATTCCCATTCTGGGTGCTCTCGCTCGATGTCGGCCCTTCGGGGCTGTTCACCCAATGTCTGCCCCCACGTGTGTGACGTGGCCCTATCTCGTGCGGTAGGCTGAGATAGCTGGATATTCCATCATTCGGCTGCGGGTCTGGGGAGAGTGAGAAGGGGCCGGCGGGCCTTTTCAGAGGGCTCGGAAGGCCTCGTACCTGGTGAGAAGTTTTCTGAGCCTTCCCTCGGACGTTCGGAGGTCTTCTGAGAAACCCCGCCGCTTTCTGAGAAGGTCTGCCCCCTCCCGCTTCCCCCAGGCGCGCCGCCGAATCGTAGCGTTCGCTCGTTTTTTTTTTTTTTTTTTTTTTTTTTTTTTTTTTTTTTTTTTTTTTTTTTTTTTTTTTCTCTCTCTCTCTCTCTCTCACACACAGCAAAAACTATGACTGCAGGGGTCATCGTGCCCCGCTGGCGGGGCTCAGGCGGCTGGTTCGTGCGTCCTCGAGGCCTGGCCGAGGAGATTTTTCGGCCTCCTCGGACACCCCTCGCCCCGTGCAGTATCTTGTCTGGCCAGTGTGAGAATCATCAAGACGTTTGGGTGTTATAATCGTTATATATAGATAGAATATCATGTTCCTAATGTGTGTTGCTTCGTGCCCAACTCACCCCCCAGTCTGCTTGCGACGCGTGCCGCCTCGTCCGAAGCTTTGTGCTTGCAGGTGTGCCGTGGGCGCGCCCCCGCTCGGCCCGCCTCACGCGCCGCCAGCGCGACCGAGGCGATGCGGCGCTGATGGCGGCGGTGGCCGTCGGCGCGGGCCGAGGGCGAGGCGGAACGCCTGGAGCAGGCGCGCCTGGCGCGGGCGGCTTCCTGGCGCTGCCAGCGGGGGCCGCAGCGGCGCTGCCTGCGCCTCCTGCGGGAGTCGGCCGTGGTCGAGGCGTCGGCCGAGGCAAGGCGAAGGCGAAGGCCAAGGGCATCGGACGTGGACGTGGCGGTGCTGCAGCTGCTGGAGGCGCGGCTGGGGCGCCACCTGCTGGAGGCGCGGCCGCAGCGGCTGCAGGCGCTGCTGGAGGCGCTCGCAGGCGCGCTGGAGCTCAGCGAGGCGTCGCTGGAGCGGCCGCCGCGGCAGGAGGCGTTGCAGGAGGTGTGCCCGCTGGCGGAGCTGCAGGCGGACCGCCCGTGGGGCCGGTGGCTGGCGCTGGCGGGCCCTTGGGAGGCGTGGTACCCGTCGCAGGTGTTGCAGGTCTCCCTGCTGGGCCATGCCCTGTAGTGGCTGGAGGCGGAGCCCCCTTTGGTGCTGGATGTGCTGGCCTCGGAGTCGCCGCCAATGGCGCTGCAGGAGCTCCAGGGCCACCACCTGCCGCAGCTCTCGGAGCCCCTGGTGGAGCGGCAGCGCCCGGAGGACTTGTGCCGCCAGGTCCTGGCGGTGGCGCGGCGGCTGTTGTGGGTCACGGCGTTCCCGCGGGCGGCGCAGCCGCTGGAGCAGTGCCAGGCCTGCCACCTGGTGCCGTAGGCATCGGTGGCGTTGGCGGCGCTGGGGCCCGGCCGCTCCCAGGAGGAGGCCCCCTGGGTGGAGGTGCCGCGAGAAGCGCCCCTGGAGGAGGCGGCTTGCTGGGCTGGGTGCCGGCTGTAGGCGCGTGCGCCGCGGCAGGCGTTGGAGGCTGCGATCTGGCGGCCCCGCCAGGAGGAGCAGGCCCTTGGGTGCGCGGCCCGTCGTCGCCGATGGCCTACCAGCGCTTGGGCCTTGCTCCAGGATGCGTGCTGGAGGGCGTGACGCTGGGCAACTTCGGGAGCGCGGCCGGGGCTGCACTTCTTCAGGTGCAGAGTGTGTGGCCTGGCGACGGCATGGGGTGCTACGTGGAGGCGGCGTTCATGGGCTGCAGCAGCGCTTCTTTGTGGCCCATGATGGCTGGTAGCTTCACCAGCTTAGGAGGCGCGGTGCTGCATCTGTGCGCGCAGCAGGCAGGTGTGTGTGCTGGACTGGTTCAGTGGCCTCAGAGGTCGGTGCTCCACGTGGAGACCTACCGCATGCGTTCGCCCAGCAGCTTGACGGAGGCCTGGGTTCAGCAGCCTGGCGGTGCAAACCCTGGAGCTGCTGCAGGCGCGCCCGCTGCTGCTTTGCCTGCTGCCGCCCCTTTCGCTCCTGGAGGTCCTGCGGTGCAGCCCACGCCCGGGGATCTGCAGAAGAAGATTGCGGAGCTCAAGAAGCGCCTGCATCAGAAGCGAAGCATCGGCGAAACGTTCACGGACCGCGCCGAGGCTGCCTTGACGGGGAGCAAACGCAGACGCCAGGGCCGTCGTCGACGTCGTGGCGGTTCAGGTGGTAGCAGCTCCGAGGACTCGCTTTTGGACGGCGCCCCACGCGTCGAATCAGGCCGCAGGATTGCTCATCTAGCTCGAAGGGTACCTGGTGCGTTACTCTCCAGCGGGATGGAACATATCAAGAAATATCTTGCGCGGCGTGTGTGTGTGTGGGACAGTCAAGAGAGCCTGGGCGAGCTAGCAGCATCAGTGGTGCAGTGCATCGCCAGCGTCTGGCACGGTCACCACCCTCAGAGCGAGATGGGAGTGAGGAACGTGCGCGAGATGAGGACAGTCGGCTCCGAGGAGATCTGGACCATCTCGGAGATCTCCTCATGCAGAGGCTGAAGGCGATCGAGCAAGCCGCGCGGGGCGGACACTGGCAGGCGGCGCAGCACCTCGAGCTTTGCGACGGCCTGGGAGCGGGACTCGCGAGGCAGGAGGAGGTGCACGACGCGGTGGGCAATCACAGGGGGGTGCGCGGCCTGGCGGAGAGCGTGGCCAAGGCCAAGATGGGCAGCGGCAGCGTCAGCTAGGGGTCAGGCCGAGAGGGGGGGGGGGGGGGGGGGGGTTCCCAGGGCGCCCCCCTCTCAAAGGCCAGCAGCCGCAGCCCCTGGCAAGAACCAGAACCAGAACGGCCCCCAGAAGGTCACTTCCATGCTCTCCCGCGAAAAGCTTTCGCGGAAATCGCGCTGGCGCGCGGAGAAGCGGCGAGCAGCAGCTGCGAGCGCAGCAGCTGGCGCCGCCCCCGCGAGCCCAGGCGCCGCCGCAGGGGGGCCAGCGCAGCCAGGCACGCCGCCTGCAGCGCCGCCCCCTGCCGCCGCCGCGCCGGGATCACCGCGCGGGATTCCTCGCGGAGGAGTCGGCCCAGGTCCCGGCAGGCGGCCGATTCTTCGCCCACCGCAGCAGGGTAATGCCAGGCCGCCTTCTCCAGCGCGGCGGGTTCACTTCGCGGGGGGCTCGGAGATGCGAGCGAGCTCGAAGTCGCCGACGCGGAGATCGAACCAGAGCCCTCCGAAGAACCCCAAGGGCGGCAAGGACATGTGACATGAAGTCCAAGGGCCGAGGCAAAGGCAAACCAGGCAAGGGCAAACCTGGGAAGCGCCTCGGCAAGGGGGAGTCGCAGAGGTCGAAGGGCAAGTCGAAGGGCAAGGGCCGTCGATGAGCCCGCGCTCTGTGATCGAGGTGAACTCCAGTGAAGGCGAGTCTTGCAGGTCTACCACTGTGGATGCCGACGTTTTCGAGGAGCCCTCTTCTCTAACATGCATGACGTGGAGCATGACGTCCACTTGGGCGCAAAGAGTGACTGCGTGAATTCAATGCCTTGTTCATCAGCCCTTGTCTCTGGTCTTCCGCTGGAGCTCTTTGGTGACTGTTTACTGCGAGAATTTAGCCGTGCGTTACACCGCGCCCTGACGCGTTCGCTCGATTGTTCAGAAGATCGCGTTCATTCACACCTGGCTCCTCAACGTATACCCGATGTTGCAGACGCTGATAGTGCACCTTTACTGGCTCCTCAATGTGACCCGATGCCGTGCCGATACATGCAGATTCACATTCGGCTCGTCAACGTTCTTCCGATTGTAGAGTGGTCGGCGACTGCTCATACCCGGCCTCTCAACGTACACCCTCCGACGCTGTGCCAGCTCTATCTCATCATAGCCTTCGGAGTCTCCGAGACGAACTTGATAGCGTCCCTGGTCTTTCTGATGGTTCACGACGCTCACCATCGAACGGTCGACGAGAGAGACGAGATCTACTTCCTCTCCCGATCGCGTTCAACATGTGGGCCGCTCCTCTGGGTCGTGGAGATCGCGCAGAGGAGAGCGGCTTGCCGGCCGAGGGCGCGGAGGCTGAGCTGAGCTGGGTGCACGCCATCGTGACGGGCCTCAACTACCACTACGCGCGCAGCTGGTTGGCCGCCCCTGAGGCGCCGCCGAGTTCCGTGCAGCGTCAGGCGCCTAGCAACTTGCTGTACGAGGTTCGGGTGTTCTGTGATCAGTGCTCTGGGACGATACCTATCGTGGATTGGGAGTCGGAGTTGACCGCGGCGGCGACCTCGTATGATGGCGAGGAGGTCTTCCCAGCCGAGCCGCTCGACAGGTCGAGGTTGCTGGAGGCGCTGCCGCCGATCGATGCTTGCGCAGCGGTCAAAGCGGTAGACGTCGCCGAGGGCTAGATCCAGGCAGCGCTGTCTGACCCCAGACTCATCCTGAAACATGTGGAGGAGATTGAGACCTGCCGCCGACGCCCAAGGTGTGGGCTTCCAATTCAGAGTGGGAGCTGATCGTGGGCGACCTCGTCACGCGTGGCATCTTGAAGCCCATCGAGTACGAAGAGATCGCGGAGGTTAGAGGCCAGAAGATCATGGGCGGCATGTTCGGCGTGAAGAAGGGCTCCCACGTGAGGGGCGAGGGCCCCCAGAGATTGGTGATGAACATCACCCCGTCCAACTTCATTCAGCACGCCATAGAAGGGGGCATGCCCTTGCTCCCCCGCAGCGACAAGTGGAAAAGTATCGTGTTGCGCTCAGGGGAGGTCTTGCTCTGGAGCGCGGAGGACCTGAAGTGCTGCTTCTACGTGTACAGCCTGTGCGACGCTTGGTTGAAGTACATGGCCATCTCCAAGCCGGCGCGGCGTGCCGCTGTCGGTCTACCTGGCAAGGGGCTGACATATCTGGCGGCCGCGGTGGTCCCCATGGGCTCGATCTCAGCGACAGGAGTGATTCAACGCATCCATCGCCGTCTGCTTCGATCGTGGCATCCTCGGCTTCTACAGCTGGCTGCTTACGAGGAGCTTCGCAAAGATGCTCCCATGCCGCCTGCGCGTCGGGCGTACCTTGACGGTGGAGCTGTGGCCCCTGTTCGGGGTCAGGTTGGCGGAGCCTGCGACGATGGCAAACCCGAGATCTACATCGGCCGCGGCCCCTCGAAGCTGAATCTGGAGGCGTCCACCCGGGGCAACCCGTGCCGCATGAGCGAGGGCTGGTCGCGTCAAGAGGTGATCACCTCGTACGAGCAGTGCCTGCACGAGAGCCCTCAGCTGCTGAGGGACCTGGCATCACTAAGCGGCGCCCGCCTTCTTTGCCACTGCAGGTGTTCGCAAGCTTGCCACGGCGACGTGCTGATCAAGGCGTGGAAGGACAGATTCGGCTCGATGTCGGTGTGGCGCGCGTGGCAGGTCTACATCGACAACCATGACGTGCTCGAGATCACCGACTGGCGGCAGGCGAACCAGCTCCAGGAGAAGGGCGTGAGGGTGTGAGCGAGCTGGCCCAGGTAGCGAGAGAGAGATGTGCCAGAGCTTCGGGGTGCCTCGGAGTGAGACCAAGGCCGTCATCAGGGAGGTGAAGTCGCAGTCCTTGGGGGAGGCGATCGACGGGGCTCAGGGCACCATCGGACCCCCCGCCCAGTTCGTGCAGCGTTTGGTCTCTCTCACCATCGAGGCGCTTAGGAGGAAGGTCGTCACGCAGAAGTGGATGCAGATCTTGGCGGGCCGCTGGGTGCGTTGTCTGCTCTTCAGGAGGGAGGCGATGACGTGCTTCACCGAGTTGTGGCGATTCTTGGTCCGCATCAAGGGCCAGGCTTCTTTGCCTGCCAAGGTCCGCGAGGAGCTCATCGCGGCTCTGACGCTGCTGCCACTACTGCGCTGCGACCTACGCGTGCCCATCAGCGGTCTGGTGACGGTTTCCGACGCCAGCGTGCAGAGGGGCGCCGTCTGCCGTTCCGTTCTTCTTCGGCGAGATGAAGTCGCAGCGGCAAGGGCAGCGAGCAGGAGGCTCGTGACGGACTTCCGCGACGAGGTGGTGCTGGTGTCCCTTTTCGATGGGATGGGAGGGGCTCGCAGGGCCTTGGACCTCTTGGGTCTCGCCCCGGCGCTGTTCGTTTCGTGCCCGCGGAGATCGATGCCGAGGCCAAGCGGGTGACCAAGTACGCGTGGCCCGAGGTGCTGGAGGTTGGCGACGCGCAGTCCTTCGGGCACGCTGAGGCGATGGCGATCAGAGACCGCGTGCCCCACACCAAGTGGATCCTCCTCATCGGCGGAAGCCCGTGCACCGACCTCGCTCGCATCAATGTGGAGCGCGTCGGGCTTCAGGGAAGGCGCTCTAAGCTGTTCTTTGAGATCGCCCGCGTCCGTCTGCTCTTGGAGGAAATGCTGGGTGAGTTCTTTCGGCTCGTGACTTTGATCGAGAACGTGGCCTCGGTGGGCGCCGAGCCGCGCAACGTTATGAGCGAGCGCCTCGGTCACCGGCCAGTTCGTGTCGAAGCTGGCTGCATCGCGCGCTGCTATCGCGACCGCTTGTGCTGGATCGACGAGAACCTGTTGTGCGAGTGGCAAGGCGACGTCTCCGTCTCCGACGGCGTCAAGATGATCCATGTGCCTGGGGGTCCTGGCCCGGTGAGGCGCTGGATGCGCGACTTAGGTGGCGGCGCCACGATCGAGGATGCCAGCGTCACCCTCGACGACGTCAACCTCGATGAGGGCGTGCCCATCAGGCAGCACAACTTGGAGGATCCGGACGCGGCGCTGGACCCGGTCATCGTGATCGTGGAGGAGCTGGCGCGTCGGGCTGAGGCTCGTGGCAGCGACGTCAGGCTGGGCACCTTCGAGGCGATGCGGCCAGATCTGTGGCCAAGGAGGCCGATCAGCGTAGCCCGCTGGACCTGGCGCGCGACCGCCATCTGGGAGTGGAAGAGACCCTCGCACATCACGGACCTCGAGGTGCGAGCGACGCTGGGGGCTCTCAGATGGAGATGTCGTTCCTCTCATCATTTACGTGCACGGTTCTGTCACTTGATGGATTATCAGGCAGGTTTGGGAATGATCACTCGTGGTCGCTCATCTTCTTATCTACTGCATACTTCAGTTCGACGTATTGGTGCCTTGATCTGGGCTGCTCTGGCTCGCCCCGTGTACGGCCACACAGAGACCGACCGCAGCCCCGCCGATGATCCATCGCGGGCAGCGGTGAGGTCTGCGCGGCCGCCAGATGCCAGTGCGTAGACCTCGCCGCGTGCGAGCGGCAGCAGATCAGGGCACACGTCGACACCTTCGAGCTGCTGCGGGGCGCCTCTCTCGCAATCTGGCGCAGCCGCGGACGCTCGATCTCTACCACAATGCAGTAAGACAGTTCTCGGATTGGGTTGCGAGCCGAGGCTTGATTTGGACGGGTGCTTCAGATCACGTCGACAAGCTTGACCTCCTCGTGGCCGAGCGGATCGAGTGGCTCTGGACCGAGGGCCACCTGCAAGGCCTGGTGGGCAACGCTTTGTCGGCAGTTCAGTTCTTCTTGCGGAAGAAGCGGATCCTGCCAGCCTCTTGGCGACTGCTGCGAGCTTGGCAGAACCTCGAGCTGCCGCAGCGCGCCCTGCCATTGCCCGAGGTGGTCCTGCTGGCGATGGCGGCCACGGCGAGGGGCTGGGGCCGTAATGACATCGCAGTGCTGCTCGTGCTGGGCTTCGCAGGCTTCCTGAGGACCACTGAGATGCTGACGCTGCGCCAGTGGCAGATAGCTATCGATGAGGCTCGCGCCAAGATAGTGATCATTCTTCCGATCACAAAAAGTGGCTTGCGGTTCCATCGGCAGGAGTCAGTGGTGATCGATGACCCGTCAGTTGTGCAGCTCGCCAGTTTCTTGCTTCGCCATCTGAGTCCTGACGCTCTCATTCTCAACTCGAGCATCAGTGAATTTCGTGACAAGTTTGAGCCGTTGTGCACTGCCCTCGAATGCCAGCAATTTCAGTTCCGACCTTACAGTCTTAGACGGGGGGGGACCACATCGTATTTTGTGAGAACTCGTAATATGCCCGCCACCCTTGAGAAGTGGAGAGGGCAGGATTCAGCCACTGCTCGTATATACATAGCAGGATGTCAGCAGGCCCTTTCAGAGATGCAGTTCTCGCCAGCATGCCATCAGAGACTCTGTTATCTTGGCAATTTGCTGGCCCACGATGTGGCCGAGGTTTTTTCGGCGCAGCCAGAGAGGGAATCGTGGAAGAGCGCTCTGGGGAGTTTCGTTGCCCTCTCAGTCACGCCTTGCCTCGCCCAGCGCCTTTCTTCCCTTTGGGCTGCTGGCGGCCCTTCTCTGGTCTCGGTCTGGTGTCCCGTGGGGGGTTTCTGGATTCAAAAGCCTCCGAGGGCCCTGCCTCGGGTTCCGGGGGGA